CCCGCCCCAGCTTTTTCTTAATTGTATGTTTTGGGGGAGGAAGAAGGAAATGGAGGGAAGAGAAGATATTACTTACTTATACTATCACTTTTTCTTTTTTCTTCCCTCAGAACAAATTGCAAGGTCTGGTGTTTGATGTTGTAACAAAGCAAGCATTTGATATCACCATTATGGTTCTCATCTGTCTTAACATGGTCACCATGATGATAGAAACAGATGACCAGGGTGAACTGATGCGAAATATTTTATACTGGATTAACTTGGTCTTTGTTGTCCTTTTCACTGGAGAATGTGTCTTCAAACTGTTCTCACTCCGTTGTTACTACTTCACAATTGGCTGGAATGTTTTTGATTTTGTGGTTGTTATTCTTTCAATAGTAGGTAAGAAATTCTTATATTCAAAATAAAATATAATAAGACATATATGCTTTATCTCTGTCAAATTTTGCAGATTAGAGGAAATTATTTTAATTTTTCCTGATTATATAGGGAATGGAAAGCATACTTTAGAGTAGTAACTTAATTTTATATCAATTTTAATACTAAATGATTTTTTTTCTGAGAGTGCTGGGAAAAAAAAGCTAAAATTACCCCTAGCAAATAAAATCTATCTCCAGGTACAATTTCCACTGATTCCACAGGTATAGTTTTTCTTTATTCATACATTGTTGTGGAAAATGTGATCTGTGATAAAATGTTACCATTTTAATTTTATTTTTTTGTTTCACAGGTATGTTTCTAGCTGAGGTGATTGAAAAGTACTTTGTGTCCCCCACTTTGTTCCGAGTTGTGCGACTTGCCAGAATAGGTCGAATCCTGCGTCTCATTAAAGGCGCCAAGGGAATCCGCACTCTGCTTTTTGCTTTGATGATGTCTCTTCCTGCTTTGTTCAACATTGGCCTGCTGCTGTTCCTGGTCATGTTTATCTATGCCATATTTGGCATGTCCAACTTTGCCTACGTTAAGAAAGAAGCTGGCATAGATGACATGTTCAACTTTGAAACGTTTGGCAACAGCATGATCTGCCTGTTTCAAATCACCACGTCTGCTGGTTGGAATAATTTGCTAGCCCCAATTCTTAACAGTGGGGAGCCAGACTGTGACCCCCATAAAGATCATCCGGGGAGCTCTGTTAAAGGTGACTGCGGCAACCCTTCTGTTGGGATCTTCTTCTTTGTCAGCTACATCATCATCTCATTTCTGGTAGTGGTGAACATGTACATTGCTGTGATTTTAGAGAACTTCAGTGTTGCTACTGAAGAAAGTGCTGAACCCTTGAGTGAGGATGATTTTGAGATGTTCTATGAGGTTTGGGAAAAATATGATCCAGATGCAACACAATTCATAGAATATAGCAAATTGTCTGATTTTGCAGCTTCTCTGGATCCTCCTCTTCATCTGCCCAAACCAAACAAAGTCCAGCTTATTGCAATGGATCTGCCCATGGTAAGCGGCGACAGAATTCACTGCCTGGACATCTTGTTTGCTTTCACAAAGCGTGTTTTGGGGGAAAGTGATGAGATGGATGCACTCAGAGTACAGATGGAAGATCGGTTTATGGCAGCCAATCCTTCTAAAGCTTCCTATGAACCAATTACAACCACATTAAAACGAAAACAGGAAGAAGTGTCTGCTACTATTATTCAGCGTGCTTATAGGCATTATCTTTTAAGACAGTCAGTAAAGAAACTTTCATTTATGTATCGGAAAGATGGAGTCGATCTGCTTATCAAAAAAGATATGGTTATTGATAAGCTAAGTGAAAACTTACCTCCTGAGAAAATGGATATGTCTACAGCCTCCACATCTCCACCTTCTTATGATAGTGTAACAAAACCAGAAAAAGAAAAATATGAAGATGACAAATCAGAAAAAGAAGACAGGGGGAAAGACAGAAAAGGAAACAAAAATTAAAAGACAGAGGTTGTCCATCATGATAGTTCACAAACCTGAGGAGATGACATTTTTATCAATGGCAGTCTTATTGAAGGATTATGTAAAAATTACAGATTTTTACGTATTAGCCCACTGCTACAGTCAGTGCCTGTACCACGACTATGATCCTTCATTAGCAAACTCAATCTGTAGCAGGGAAACAGCCTTGCAGAAGAATAGTTTTTATTATCAGCTGGCACTCATGAAGAAGAGACAGATAATTTCTACTTGGACTGTAGGAACCCTTAATGGAGTGCAAAAGTACCACTCCTAATAAGTCTTTATTTTTTGTGGAATAAGTTTACCCACTGTGTACGTTTCATCTCCTATGCATGTACTATGTTGCAATTCTTTTCATAATCTCATTTGCTTTTATTCACATACTGCTGTATGTAATTCTGCTGTGCTGAGAAAAAAACCTAAGTACTCTTGCAGAAGAACACGAATGTCAGGAATATATAATTGTGGCATCAAAATATGAACAGAGTTCTCTTCAAGCCACTTCTAAAAGCAGAAAACCAAAATTCCAGATTATTTAACCTCAGGATCTAGATCAAATCAAGAGCAAATGATTAAAAAAAAAAAAAAGGAAAAAAAAAGGAAAACAAAACAAAAAACAAACAAACAAAACAAACAAAAAAAAAAAACAAGCAACAGCAACAAAAATGTAGTATAGACAGAATTTATCAGAAAACTAAACAAAGGAATAATTTTCACAGAAGAGAGGTTGGTAGTTTAGTCTCTTGGTTTCAATATACTTATATTTATTAAATTTAATAATTCTTATTTTATTATGCAGTTGGTTTCAAATACAGTCATTTAAATAAATGATGCTACACACACACCACTCTTGAAATATGTATGAAAAATCATAGTTACTTTCAGATTCCAAGATAACTCATAATTCCCAAGACATTTAAATATTAAATATTTCTTTTCACAGAAAAGCTACCAATGCCAAATTGTGCTTATAGGAAATTGCTGAAATAAAAAAAGGTGGTAGTCTTTTTTTTTTTTTTTTTTTTTTGACTATAGACCCTGTAATTTCATTAGTAGCTTCCATACTTCATTCCAAAGTCTGTTTCTACCCTTCTTATTTCACATTAGTATATCCTACTTCAGTCAATAATCAAAGCTCCATGTACAAATTGATAAGAAAATAACTTGTGGGACAAATACTACCTTAATGTATACCTCAGACTTAAATTTCCATACTTTGGAAGGATGGGGCATGCCAGAGACAGAAAATATGTACACCAGAGATGATTTTGATTTCCCGTGGCACTTTATTCCGTTTTCCACTGTATGTAACGCAATCTTTCATAGAAAGCTGAGATGAACAAAAGGATGTTCTTAAATCAGGTTTGTCTTGCATTGTGGTTTAGATGACATTTTTCATCATCAAGGCTGATGCTATATATGTAAGTAAAATGTCCTCTATTATTTAATCAGTTGTTTTGCGCAGTGGTACCTGTTTCAACAAAAAAACAATGACCTAAGTACTGTATTTAGTACAGTAATAATGTGTACATTATTGTGTCACATATGTACCTTAGTAAGTGTAGGCTGTAGCATTTCAATGGATAATATGATATATTCTGTAATACTTGGATAATTGGGAAGCTTTGATGCATGCTTGCTGCTATTATCCTAATGCTGTTAAAGTCTAGGATGGGAAGACGTGCGTGTTAAAAAGAAAAAAGAACTGTTTAACAAGATGATTGTTCCTCCTGCAAGTAAGCAATAGTTTGCTGCTCTCACAGATTTTATTTTGAGTTTTAAAATCAGCAAATATGCAGTAAATAACCAGACTACACAGGACAGATACATTGCTTAAAATGTGGCACTCAAAAAAATTTATAATATATATCTATTGATCTGTTCTTGTTATTTTGAAAATAATTTTATTCTGTAACATTTCATACTTATAAGAAACTACACATCTTCATGATAGCAATTTTTATTGCTGTCTATCTATGACAATTTACTGTTGGGAAACCTAAAATACAATGTGAATCAGTGATTGAAAGTTTCTGCTAATTACATTAAACATTTTTTAGTAAGGAATAATTTTTAAGGAAATGGACAGCACAGTTCTTTTTCTGATCAGTACATAGGTATTTGTATGTGAAACAAGATAGAAAGGTTTCTTTTGGAATTATGATCTTGTCTGTCAGTTTGTCATCTTAGTCACGGAAACATTGCTTTTCCCCAGTGTTAGCTCACACAGTCTGCTTTTCTTGTTGATTCATAATGCAGTTGAAATTCTTTAAATGTTATTTGTTATTCAGAATCTCTCTTTGTTAAAATGAATAGTGAATGTGTGCAATGGACAGTGGAATACCTTGCATTTCTTACAAAAGAACTAGAATATAGATAGGCTCTTGCTTTTATAGAAACTATTGGCTCATAGCATAATGATGAACTGCATGCACGAAGCTCTTTTACCAAAAATAACTACATAACTAACAACCCAAAAGAATAAAGATAACCTTTTTACGTACTTGTTTTTGTTTTGTGGTTTTATTGTATGAAGTTCATATGGATTAACAAGTAATGGTTGGTAAAATTAAGGGGGAGCCACTTTAGCAATGAGACAATGTTTTAGATGGATGTGTATCAACCTGCCACCATCTAAATGAAGTGAAATGCTTATGTTGTCCTGGCCAGAGGCATTTTTCTAGGATTTATAAAAGAATCCCATTATGATTGTGGGTTTTTTTTTTTTTCAGATTTTTAGAAGTTGCCCACAAAGTGCTCCAGTGCTGTCCTCTGGTGTGCTGTCCTTGGGTGGTCTAGTCAGATGGAGGATGTCTCCACATTCTTGCAGAGCACTGGATCCAGCAGACACTGCTCACCCTGGGTGGCTGGTCTGGGATCTGTCGCTGAAATAGCCCCACAGGGGCATAACAGTGTCACTTTTGTGCTGTTCCCCCTCAAGAGGTCCGTGTTTGCCAAGAGAATTGAAAAAGACCTGTTCTAGAAGTGCTAATGGCCACCTAATGGTCACAGTTATCTTCAGGCAACTTTACAGAGCTTAACAGGTATGTCCCTGGCAAGAGGTTGGTACGTACAGATGGCAGGAGATGGGGCAGGGTGTGTGCAAGTGGATGTCTGTGTGGAGTAATTAGTGCATATTTTTTTCATTCTCATTTCTGCTGTAAAGAATATCTGCTGTATACTTGGGCCAATATAGCTAATAGAAAAAAATGACTCAACCATGTTCTGCTTGAAAGACAATGTGTGTTTTTAGTAACCGTATCTGATTTGAATTAAAAAATTCTAATTTTTAATCCAGAATAGATATTGTTTTAATATCTTAGTTGATAATAATAATTCCACAAAGCAATAATGTAAATGACTTTAAAAATCTTGGTCATACCCTTGAATTGCTGTTTAAAGAATAAATTTGGTTTAAGTCAGTGCTGGACAGGTACATTGTTAACAAAAATTCTGTGTTACTCTCTTACTGTCCTAGTTCACAGAAGATGAAAAATTAGGAAGAAAGGCTCCCTTAGAATTTTATGAAGCGGGTTTTCTTTACTCTCTCTTACCCACCTAGGAATGGAGTGTATTTTATTTTATGAAGAAGCCATCAACCCCTTCCCTGTCTCCAAAAAGAAAAGAAAAAAACAAACAACGAAACAACCTCAAAATGCCCAGGCGCTGGCAGTGCCAGGTTTACACTGAGCCGCTAAGGCACCTGCACCCAGCAGAGGGCCCAAAGCCGCCTGAACAGCTCAGAAATAAAAACTACAGGAAGAGCTTATAGCTTTCCAGAAAATTTATAGCTTTTATACTTGATTTGCCATGACATGAAACTATAACATGGTAATGCAGCTTGTTGTTTAGGTTGCTTTCTAGTAACGCTTTTGTGCCTAGACTGGCGGGTTTTGGATTAGGTTCCGTACTCTATACAGCATGTGGCCCTATAGGCGTAGCTGACACCACATCAGGTAAGAACTGCCACACTTACCTGAGCTTACCAAAATGTAGCTGAAGGTTGTTGATGTACTGGGGAATGCCACAGATAGCTTTAGCTTTACTTTTATTACTAGGCATTATTCAATCCAACAGTCCACCTGTGAAACAGCCCCAACCGTCTAAAAGAATCACATACGAAAATATCTGTTTCATTTTCATGGCAAACAGTCATAAATAACATGAAGTATTATTAAAAATGCAGTGTTTTTTGGATGTTAAAAATTCTTATTGTACTGATTTATAGTATGTGGGAGGTGATTAATTAGAGTTGTGCAGTGGGCCATGGAACAGGAGTCTGGACAAGTGTGAGGGCCAAAGCGAGAGCACGGAAGAACTCGTGACTGGCTGACCTTGGGACAGGCTGACGTGCTGATGTGAACTCTGGGACAGGCTAACGTGATAAGGAAGTAGAGAGGGAGGAACCAATGAAGAGTCACCACAACCACCACAGCAGTCCAGAGGATCCATTAAGATATGCCACAACTTGCTTGTAGAAAGTATATAAATCACATGTGTGTAAAAAATAAAAGTCTTAGTCTTAGTCTTGACTTCACTCCTGAACCTGGTCTGAGCAATCAGTTTTCACAAATGGCGCCCATATCAGAATTTAAAGGGGCAAGTTAGTGTTCTTACCAGTGGCAACAGCCGACTGAACTACAAGAGCTGAAAGGGAGCTCAAAAGGTGCACCTATAGACCTTTCTGCTGGGCAGAGGGTAAGAAGCCGAGAACGAAAACAGTGGGGAGAGAAATACATGAACAGACCAGAGACGTGTGCGTGATGACATGAAGCATATTTTAAAGAAGCATAATCACCCTTTAGATGAAAATAGTCTAAAGAGACTTTTATTATGGGCCCATAGCCAAGACCCTGATCTAAATACCACTAACGTTTTTAACCCAGAAACATGAGATAACGTGGGAGTTGTTTTATGCGACTAGTCCGTCCAAGGTAACAAGGTGGTTGTTGCCTTTTAAAGTCCCTGGCAAACCATCT